TCAAAAGCATGTCTCGGCACACGCAATTCAGTTTCGAGGCTTTGATCAATTTCAAAGGCATTGCTCCAAACATATTCTTCCTTCCTGCAAACACTGAAACTCAGCCTTCTCTCTTTTTTTTTAACTCCGATTCGGAAACGGTTGCTTCCGACAGTGCAGCGGCAGCAGCAGAAGTGCACTCTTCATGTTGCCTTCTCTCGGCCGAATCCTGGATCTTTACTCACAGAGGCCAAGTGGGCATCTCTCTAGCGGGCTTCCTGTCTGGTTTCACCTCAGTGTTGTTGTTGTTGTTGTCGTAGTACCCCACACGGCCTCAGTCGGAGTCATCGCCATCATCCTCATCATCAGAGCTGGGGCCCTCCTCCTCTGAGGAGCTTGAATCTTTGGTGCTGGCATCTGAGATCATGCCATCTGAACTGTCAATCTCTAAAGATGTCTCTGACACGTAGAGGTGGACTGACCGTGAAGTGTGGCTGGGACACGCACAGAGAGTGGGGACACGGCGACATGCAAAACAGGGTAAGAGGAAAGTAGCAAACACACATTTACTCACAGAAATATGCGTGCATGAGTGACAGATGAATGAATTATTCATGTAATGGAATGCGCTAAGGTCAAACACACACACAGGGGTAAAGGACAAGGAGAAGGAAGACAGCAGCAGGGACAAAGGGTTAGGATCACACAAGTGGGTTCAGCGCCGACGCAGCAGAGGACTGATTTTCCCTTTTTCTCTGTGAAAGATTTAAATTTAGGGCTGGATAAAAAAAAAGAGCACCTCTAAATTCAACGACAAACGTTGTCAATTTCACCAGGAAGGGGATAACTTTTCAAACCCAGTGGGAATATTAATGAAAACCAAATGTGGCACCTGTTACAGAAAGATCTGAAAACACCAAAGAGAGAAGCACAGAGTGGATGACCAACAGTGGATTTGTTCAAAACAGACAAGAGATAATGTCTGAAAAACTGTTATAATAAAAAGTAAATAAGTAAAGTAAATATCTTTTTTTACAAAAATGAAAAAAATGAAATGTCTGTTTCCAACAAGTGCTCATCATCAGGCCATGATTATATAATGTAGTTGGATAAAGTTTGCAGTAGCAAAAATAAAAATCAGTCTCTTAACACCACAGGATGTCAAAACAAATACAGCAATAAGACTTCAGCAGTGAAAACAAATCCAAGTGTTTGATTGGTGAGGCTGCAGCTCAGCACAGCTCCCCATCATGTGGTAAATTGAATTAAATGTTAGCTTTAAACTGCATCTGTGTTATTCTTTGCGAATACATTGCATTTTAATGTCAACTAATTCTATTAGTTGGTAAACAAACAGCGGGATTTTTTTTCCTCGTCCACAACAACACATTTTTCTATCCAAAGAAAAAAAATCAAATCTGTAGATCAGAAACTCGACTTAGCAAAAGTAGAAAAACTGGATGGTAAGAATGTTGATAGATATAAAAATGACAAAGGCACGTGGTGATGTGGCTACAGATACACATCTTCCTACACAAAGAAATGTTCTAGTTTTTCTATTCTGCTTAGAACTGCCCAACAATGGCTCCGTATTTGCACCAGCAACAGAACAGTAGTAGAACAGTAGTGTGAAGGAGAGAGAGAAACCGTAAGAAAGAGCACCACATGCCCCGTTTTCCCACAGTTGGACAGAGCGAGAGATAGAGAGAGAGATAGAAAGAGAGAGAGAGAGAGGACACGTGGTTCCTCCTGTTTGTCTCTCTGTCCATGTCTTCCTTTGCCTTCGTGTTGCTCTCGGTCTTACCACGCGGTGGGGTCTTTTCTTTCTTTACGAGGAGCTTCCACGTTGTCTTGCAGCTGCCTCTGTCCCTTTTTCTTGCACCTCCTGCAGGACATGACGATGACGAGGAGGATGAGCACGCCGGCGATACTGCCTGCGATGATCAAGACCAGACGTAGGATCTCAGAGAAAGAGGCTGCGGGTGAGAAGGACAAAAAGGAAAGCGAGTGTTTTTGAACAACTTTTTAACGAGTTTCATGGAGACTTTCCAAGAATTTTTAGTTAAAAAAATTGCGGAACATTGTGTCGACCGATGGCTGTTGTTCAGATTCAAATTATGATCTCTCCATCCATCCATCCATCCAACCACTGATCCATCATCCACCCATCCATTTATATACATTATACATCAATAAACCATCCATCCATCCATGCATCCATCCACCTCTCTCCTAGCCTTTAAAACCGGAACAAAAACGTAAAATTATTCATTATATAAATGCTAACATAATGATATACAAAATAAAATTAATTAAAAATAATATTAACACTCACTGATTATTCACAATGTCTGTTCAGTTGTTCAGACAAGGCCCAGGCTTTTGTTTTACATCTAATAAAACCAGATGGTTGGATTTTACCCACAAACCAACAAACAAGATGGCCTTCATCTACAGCATGCCATCCATGTGATCCACAGTGATCTTAGGGCAGAAATGATGCCATCCATATGATCCACAGTGATCTTAGGGCAGAAATGTACACATTTTTTCTTTATGTTTGTGAAATGCCCAAACGTCAATCCTCTGACCTGTGGTGACAACGCGAAGTCGTATCTCTCCCACCTGGCCATGAACATCCGGTGGATTCTTGACCTGGCACACGTATGTGCCGTTGTAAGTGAACTTGACCTCTCGAATGATGATTGATGCATCCTGACCCATGATGTCACCGGCCCAAACGATACGCTTTTTGAATATGCCCTCGAGGGGTGGATAGGGTTGCTGCTGGTAGTGGAACACCTACGGTATGAGGGAAAATGAGAAAAATAGGTGGATGTTGTGACAAAGACATAAAACGTCAACTGCAGGTACCGGGGAAGGAGATTGTATTTTAGAATTTATATATACTGCAAGAAAAAGGGAGACATAAGCCTAACAGGCTGAATATTTTTCGCTCCATTATCGTCGTGCACTCACACAGAGATACACACACACACACACACACACTTGTCGATACACACTCACATACGTGCTGTCTTGGCTTCTCCGCAGGGAGCTGCATGACTCACCACCTCCTCTCAGTTTGCTGAGGGGGCGGATGCTCCCTGACACGCTGACGGAAGTTTGATCACAAACGGTCCAATAGACACACTCACCGACTCTTCTTGTCCCGGTTTGAGGGGTCTGAACGTCCATGTGATGACAACGGAGTTGACATTAATTGGCGCCGAACTCTCAAACGTGCACTTGAGACGTGCATCAGTCCCGTTGACTGCCTCCATTTCCCCAGATGTGTACACACGTATCCCCCTGACCTGCAGCACGCCTGTCGAAACACAAACATATGGCGTTGATCACGTGCGATTACCCTCAGCACGGAAATCCAGCGACGTCTAAATCGATACATGAATCAAAGCCTTTGGAGAGGAAAAACAACTGCATATGCAAAAGGCAGAGTAAAATGCATTTTTAATTCAGCCTCATCAGTAATCAGAGGCAATTATTGATTTATAACCTGTAAACAATCCAAACATTCTAAGAAAAAGATTACATCTTAAAGGCATGGTACGCATCACTCGTGTATAAAATAATAAGGCTAGGTCATACAAGAGCAATCCTCCATTCATGTTTCATTAACATCGAATAGATTTTACACACCTGCAAAAACAGTATTTCAGACTGAGTATTTTTTAAATTAGACCCTGTAAGTGGCAGCAGTGCTTGTTAAACACAAAGAAAAAGTAGAAGCTAGAGAGAGAGGGGTTTTTTCCGTAGCTTTATGTTTCACAATGCAGTTAAATTCTGGCACATTGTGGCCAGAAGTCAAGACATCCACAGAGCAGCGGGGCTGTTTTTAGCCACTCCGTGGCATCATCACTCCAGTTATTATGGCAGCTGACAAACCTCAGCGTGTGGTCGGTCTCCTCAGCACCAGGAACTCGGTCTGACACTCAGTACAACATTAATAATGAATATATGTGTATTATTTATATTACAATATTAATAATGAATATATGTGTATTATTTGCATATTCAAATGCGTACATTGACATCACCCAACTTTCAAAAAAAAAAAAAAAACAGGAACTACACCGGGAGTGTCAAACATACGGCCCGCGGGCCAGAACTGGCCCACCTGGGGATTCAATACGGCCCAAACACTGCATGTTAGTGATGTTTTACAGGTAATTATGTATCTAATCAGGCTGCATGTGTAAGTATCTGAACCGAAATGAGTTTGACACCCAAGGACCACACGCTTAATGTTAAAATACTACCATCTAAATGACACAAAACTGCACACTGCTCCTTTAAAAATAATCCCTGTTGCCCTCTGCTGCCCTGAATGTGTAAACAGATTCCAGGTCAGTGGGTCAGAGCTGATGGTCCACTGCGTACTGTATCATATTTGGACATTGACGAAATCAATCTGTACACGATGTGATGGATCTATTAAATGGAGAATGAATGGACTGCAAAAGCAGGGAGCAATATTGGCAACAATTTGGTGCTTTTTATATGATGATGGATGGAGCTCACCAGAGTAGAACCACATGCACACACACACACACTCACAGAGAGGATTCACACAGAGAGACTCAGGAGGATGAAGCGTCTAAGGCAGAGATGTGTTTAAAGCTGAGTCCTGGCCTGGCAGCCGGTCAACAGCCCATCAGTAATCAGACCCAGACTCTTAGAGTGTAGAATTCTGAGAATTTGTGACTTTAATCCAACTTCACTCCGGTGCAGCCCCACCTGGTGAGAGTGTGCAGCGTTTAAAGACGTTTCCAAATGAAGAGGGTTTACGCGCCTGCCGTCTGGTTGATATCAGTCACACTATTTTTAGGACAAACTCAAACTCCGTATGTTCCAACATTATCAGAAGCCAATGCCGTGGCACACGGCAGACAACTGTCTGCAGAGCTGATGTGCTCAGTAACCACATTAGCACACATTTATATTGGGGAATTTGAAATTTACTGGGTGAAAAAATGAAATGATTTGAGGAAAGGAGGCGAATCTAGACGTGTACTTTGTCCCAAATTCTAATGGTAAACTAACCAGAAAAATATTGGCCAGCAGGATCTTGGCTGCTCACCCACAATAATCTGCTCCTTATCAGGCTGGAAAGAGTTTCCTGTGAG